CTTTGCTCTGTTTGCACAGAAACTAGGGAATAAGTAGCTCCAAGGCAGGAAATATGAGCAAAGAGCCAGGATCAGTGACCAGGAGAGCAAATGAAACTTCAACTGCGCAGATCGAGGATTTGGGAGCCTCACGTTATGAGGTCAACAATAGGCCAAAGGCAGATATCTAGGTAGTCCGGGGTGAAGCAGGAGCCATTCATTCATTTACTCCACAATTATGATTTAATACTGACTACAAGCAAGGCACTGCAGTAGGTGCTGTGATGGAGTGGTGAACAAGACATCCCTGCACTCCTTGAGCTTGTAGTCTAGCCCAAGAAGCAGATAAATATGTGATTACAATTGATGTAAGTCTGTAAGAGAGGAACGAACAGCATTGAGGGAATATTTTCCTAAGGATTGAGCCCGTTTGGAGAATCTTGGAAGGTTTCTCTTGGAATGATGTCCAAATTTCTTACTGGAACTAAAAGGCCCTAGCTGACCTGGCTTCTGTCTCGAATGACTTCTCTTCTTCGTTAACTACACTCTGGTTTTCTTTTGGCTTCTCTAACACATCAAGCTCCTTTTGTCCTGGGGGCCTTTTAACAAGTTATTCTCTCAGCCTGGAACCTTTCCCCACCACTGCCATCTTCCTTCATCCTCATTCTTCTGATCTTTCTTTAGCATCAGAGCTTGGGTAAAAGAAGAAAGGTGAGGCCAAGGGGCAAGAGGTCCCTTTTGACTAAGCCCTCCAGAGTCATGTGCCGTGGGCAACGCCACCCTTCCAGCTAGTGACAACTACACCCATCACCTTTGGGCCTCTGGAATTCTTCCACTTCGCCCTTCAGCAGTCCTTCTGGGCATCGTTTCTTTTCTTTCTGCCTCTCCTCCACTCCCAACACTACCCTCGTCTCCTAGAGATAAGCATTGTCTTGAATTTCATGTTAACATTTTTTAAGTTTTGCTTTATCATTTTAACACACATGTGTATCAAAATATGTTACTTAGATTTGTGAAATGTATTATTTACCTATGTGTATCTTCTTCTGTGACATGACTACCTTTTTCATATAACATTTTGCTTTTTACATTGCTCCATATATTTTTTAAATTACTCCATATCAATGTGTGTATCTATAACTCATTCACATGAATATACTACAATTTATTTAGCTATTCTCCTGTATTGTCTTGTAATAGTTTTAAACTTTTGCTTTTTGTCTTTAAGATTTTCATCTATCTAGAATTGATGTTGTGTATAGTATGAAGTGGGAATTAGATTTTTTTCTTTTTGTTAATATGGATAACCACCAGTATGGCTATCTCTTGTCTATTTCCCTGCCCCAATCTTCATCTTCAGCCTTCAAGGAAAGCCCATGGAGTTTGCAGGTGAGTGCAGACTGTCATTTGCCAGGTGTGTGCGCATTTCCAGACTCACAGGCTAGCACATACTTGGCCTTTGGCACTTTTTTACAACTTTAGCTAATTCCTACTTCCTGTGTTGTAGCCAGCACTGTGTTTCTTCTTCCCATGCTCTTCTGTAGGTGAGACTGTCCTGGTGTTCAGTCTCTCCTTGGTTGGCTTATCACTCTGGATTTCAGGTTAGTTGGTTATCTTGTGACCTTAGTTCTCTGTTGGGCAAAGGGAAAGTGATGACTTTAAACTTTTATCTATTTTTGTTTTATTTTGTTTCTTTCTTGTTGGGTTGTATCTTTCTGCATCTAAAGCAAAAGCAAAAGTCTTATAATTGTCTTTCATATAATTATCTTATATTTTTCAAATTTGCTAAATTCTTTTAATAATGCCAGTAGTTTTTCTACATATTCTTGTGGGTTTTCTGAATGGAGGTAAATATTTTTCTAAATAGATAGTCATAGTACCTGTAAATACAGTTGACCCTTAAACAGCACACTTTTGTACTGTGTGGGTCCACTTATATGTTGATTTTCTCTGGCCTCTGCCACCCCTGAGACAGCAGGACCAACCCCTCTTCTTCCTCCTCCCCCTCAGCCTGTTCAACATGAAGATGAGAATGAAGATCTTTATGATGATCCACTTCCACTTAAGCAATAGTACATATATTTTCTCTTTCTTATGATTTTCTTAATAACGTTTTCTTTTCTCTAGTTTGCTGTATTGTAAGAATACAGTATATACTACATATAACAAACAAAATATGTGTTACTGGATGGTTTATACTATTGCTAAGACTTCTGGCCAACAGTAGCCTATTAGTAGTTAAATTTTGGGGGAGTCAAAAGTTATATATGAATTTTCAACTGCACAGGGGGTTGGGACCCCTAACCCCACCCCCATTATTCAAGGGTCAGCTGTAATTTGTTTTGTTTCTTCCTCAACATTTCTTAGCACATTACGGTTTTTTCCTGTTACAGCGTCTAGGACCTCCAATACCTTATTGAATAGAAAATAGTGGGCTTCCTTGCTGTTCTTGACTTTTAAAAAAATATTTTAAACATTTCACCCTCACATGTGATCTTTTCCAGTTTTTTTTAAAACTCTTTATCATTTAAAGGAAATTACTTTTTTTTTGTAGTTTAGGAGATTTGAGGGTTTTGGTTTTAAATTAAATGTTTCTCCTGCATCTATTGAGCTTATCTATAGAATTTTTCCCCTTTTTATTTAATCTTGTCAATTATATTATAGATTTAATGTCGAACCAGCCTTAAAGCCCTGGAATTATTTATTTTTATACACTTCTGGACCCAGCTTACTAATATTTAGGATTTTAGCATCTATGTCATGAGTGAAGTTTGCCTATAATTTCCTTTTGTCATATTGTTCTTCTGTGGTCTTGTTAACAAGGCTATACTAACCTAATAAATTTTTTATTTTTAGTTCGTTTAAGGTTGGAAATTTTTGTTCCTTGAAAGTTTGTTTTTTGAAATTGGTTTAAAGTTACTCTTTGGCCTAGGATTAGGCCATTCATTATGGTCAATTTTTGTAAATGTTTTATATGGGAGGCAAAATTTTACCTCTACCCTCTTAGAGTTTTTTGGCTGGGCCTGAGAATTAAACTGACATGAGACAGATTTTTTTTTTTTTTTTAG